AAAAATGGAGAGGCCAAAAGCAATCAAAAGAAAAACTAAATTGCAAGTAAATCACTAGCAAAATAGCACTTAAGAAACCCAATTGCCTCCTACTTATCTTTTATCCTACCATTTTAAAATCATCACTTCCCACAGACCATTTCTATTTTTCCTCCTCTTTCCCTTTGCTAGTCCTTTTGTACCAGGAAAATAAATAAATAAAATTTCCACTCCTCCTTCTCAAAAGACATCATTCATGCAGCTTCTTCCACTAACTGTAATCCTGCATTACTGTAAAACTTACTACAGGACTTTAAACATACAATTCCATAAGAAATAAAGGTAATACATAGGAACCTTAACAAAATAATTCATTATATACTCCCAGAGTAGGTAATTGATGAACTCTTGTGCTTATTCAAACAGCAGCATGACAATTTAGGAGTGTCATCATTGACTTCACTGACTGCAGACTTTTGCACTAGGGTCTGTACGAGGAGCAACTGAAGTGAGAATCCTACCACTGATTTCAGTGCTTATCAGATAAATTAAGTTATTCTTCTTGATAACATGCAGGCGTTTCTTAGTGCTCTGCAGTACACACCAAAAAGAAGTCACTACTGTCCCCTAGTGTAGGAAGGACAAAGCACATCGTTTCTGAACAGCTGCTCGTATTTAACATGGTAAACGGTGCATCCGGACACTACAAGTGGAGTCTTTCCCTAGGAATTTAAAGCAGAATCTTGGAAAATTGAGGCAAGGCAGAACTGCGAGGCCCAGCTAAGGCAGCACTCCTTAACCCCTGCTGCCTGGCTCCTCACGACACTGCTCAGAAGCGGCCTCCACGAGCAAGGGACACTAATTTCTGCTCTCTGCAGGGAAGAGTTAATGCCACACAGTAGGGCTGAAGAGGGCTTGCATTTGAAAGTAGGATCAGCACCGGTGCTTTTCTACTCAAACTGTAACTTGTGCTAGAAGAATATTTTCTTCTTTAACAAGAAAAACAAATTGATCTGAATTTTCCAAGTGAGACCACAGATCACCAGTTTTTAAACTAATGCAACTATACATTCAGTTCACTATTTACTTTAGAGAACACCGTAAGGGCTAGAGAATCATGCAGTTGCTTTGTATTCATTCTCAAAAAACACAATGATTAAAGCATAGAAATGCTAAACCGCAAGAGTCCATAGTAATGTAACACCAATTTTAATCTTTTTAAAACAAAAGCTAGTAACTAGTGACTACTTCGACTATTTTAATTATATCTAAAATAACACTACACTATTCTGTCTATAATCCCATACCAAGGATTTGAATTTAATTGACAATAATCAAGCAGCTCTGTGACTCTTTCAATTAAAATAATTGTATGATTGACACTGTATACTGCCAATAAATTATTGATTTCTAATAAATTCATACCACTTTTGACTTGAAATGTTTTCATATTGTTATTCTGCATATGGAAAATTTCAAGAAAAACGTGAAGATCCCAAAGTTAAACTTCTCTTGGCAATACATGTTTATCTGCCACTGCAGTTTCAGTAAAGAACCTTGGATGTACACTGCACACAGATATGAAGAGGAACAAAAGACTCTTACACAATACCACTATGAAGTCCTTGATAGGAGGGAGAGAGCAGGTACTAAAAGCAGAAGCCTCTAATGGACAATCAAACTAAGCCACTTCACTTAACTTACCATCATTTTTTTCCCTATTTGAAGATTTTATTCTTTGTAGTGTTAAAACAGTGCCCATAACCCCCATTCTACATCCAGAATCACATTGTAGGGGTTATGAAACACAAGCATCTTGTAAAGCAAATTACACCTTTAACCACTGGAAGGCTCATTCACACAATAGCTCACACCACAAAAGCTAATTCCACAGCAACAGCTTTTTTAAAAGTGGTCCATAATCATTCTTAATTACACACTACTGGGTATCTAACAGCTGAATTATTTTACTGTTGAAAACAATTGTTCTTTTTAAATGTTTGTTCACAGACAGAGACACTATTAAAAAGTAAAAGGTTCCTGACAAAGCACGGACTATCGAATTTGATACTTAAGTGTCATGTGGTGATAATAATTCTGCACTATGAAAACACTCATTTATTTCTATTTTATTCATTCATTTACAGAAAGACATAGCAGGAAGTCAAACCTCTCTTTAATGTTGGTCAGTTTGCATCACATGTCTTTTTTTTTTTCTAGCCTGCTTTGTGTCTAAACTTTCTTACATCTTTTATCTCGCATACGTTTTCAGATAACAGCAAGTACATCCTTGAAGTACACAACTTCCAGTACTGTCTTTTTTTTTTTTTTTCTTTTTAAAATCCCTTGTTTGTTTCAGGATATTTGATGTTTGTGAAAGATGACTCTTTGATGACCTTTAAAAATCAAGTCCTCAAGCAATAACACTAACAAAGTAAAAAGTTTTGAGCTATGGTGGCAGATCATTTGGAAAAGCCAGCACAGCTGAATGTTTCTCATTCTATATTATACTTTCTATCTCCTTCTATTACCTTGTCCTGAATGGCAGGGGTTCTGCTCATAAATACTAATATCAAGGCTCTTCAGCTCATTTTCAGCCAGTCTTATTGTGTTTTTACATTTCATTTCATGTCTTGCTTTTTGGAAGATGCCTTATTTTAGGTTACTGCCTTACCCCTGTTGTTCACCTTCAGACTTTCGCCCTTTCACCACAACTAGAGGAAAAGGCAATTGTGCAAATTGTCCTGCAGCTCCCACAGATCACAATACAAGCAACAGATTATGAACTTTCCAGGAATCTTATAATTTAATTCCCAGTGAGCCACTAGTCTCAGTGCTAAGACTAAAAATAACATTAAGGTTTTCATCCAGTAATTGCAGTAAATCACACAGTAAATCACAGGACAATCCAAATGATCAGCAACTACTTTTACAGCACAGGAAAACCCAAAGATGGAACTGCTAATTTTTTTATGTAATTCATTGTTAGTACACTAAATGAAAGCTTTTAACTTTACTGACATTACTCAGCAGCAAGCCAATATGACTGGGACAACTAGAACTCCAGGGCTCTCAAAGAAGTAGGCAATAAAAATCAATCACTGTTCTCCTTACACAGCAAGAACTAAATAGCAGGAACTTGACTTAATGTGTGTCATATAAATGCCTCAAGAATGTATCGCACTAATAATAAGCACATACAGGAGAAAGTATTTGCACAGAACAGAAATCGCTTTGATACTGTGACTGCGTGATCCAACCAGAATTAACACAAAATCACAGAACTCAAGAGGAGCAATTGCAGAGCACACAGGTGTGAAAGCCTTCTGTAAGCTTTCCTTGCACTGTGCTTAGAGCAGTGTAATGAAAACCTACTATAAGCTTTATTTGCACTGTTTGAAAACAGCTTCAGTTTCATTCCTTGTTTCTAAAAGGGGTATTCTTTGTAGTCCAAAGAGGGGGAGGAAAAAAAAAAAGTGTTGCTACCAAATCATCTTGCACTTTTTGCCCTTAAATTTTTCATAGCTGAGTCATGTCAGCTGACTGGTCACACAAGAATACACATCAGTTTGTAACTCGTCATGGAGTAGATTAGGGATTTTCTAAAGGAGCTGAAGCTAATATGCTTAAGCTTTTGAACAAAAGTGTTGTATATGTTCTTTATGTGCTCTTAGTTCTCAATATTAAATCATACACATCACAGATTCCTAATGACAAAACTACTTTTGAACAACATATTCAGATCTTTAACCATGGAAAAGCAGTATCAAATATAAGTATTCTTCAGACTGTAGGAAGCAAATTAACATGTTCTATTTTCTTCTGCTATTTAAAGAAAGTTTTAATAGTTGTCACTTCTCCAGATTTTTTCATGAGTGATTTACTCCTGCTGAAAGTTTGGGTTCTCTGTTTGACTGATGAAAACCTGCAACTTTTCAAATAAATTCCAAAAGTTATTTTTGACCAGTTCATGCCCTAAATTTATTCTCCAAGAATACTTTACTGAACTAATAACTATAGGTATTTTCACTGCTGTTTATACTACTTTATACAAGTTTTTTCCTTATGCCATGTTAACACTGAGAACACTATGTGGAGACTGCCTAATCTCAGCTCATGAAAATTCACGCATTTATGGATACTAAACATATAGCATCATATCATTACACTGTTTTTAATTACACTGGTCTCTTTCTATAGCTTCCCTGTAACCCTAGCACAGTCTTAACCTAACTTTTCCCCCCTTTCACCAATTTTGGTTAAAACCACTTACCCCACTGAGAAGAAAAATCAATATCCTAGTAAGCCCTAATAAGTAACATCTGTAAAAACAGGTGAGCAAGTTTTAACACCTGAGCTGGTTTTAACCAAACACAAAGAATCGCACACACACCCACACACCCCTCATATACAGCCTTCTGAATACTTTCATCAGATTAAGTAAGCATTTTATAAGTGTGGCATCTCATGAATACAAGATGAAATTGCTTACTTTTTGGCCTACATTTCCATGTTTAGTACCAAACAAGGAGCACTCCTTGCAGCCTCTCATCTAAGGGTGACCCTACGGCACGCACCCTGCACTGCCATCTCTCTCCCAACTCTCTAGGCCCCCATGTTGTTGCCCCTAGGCAGCCATGTTGTCCTGCCCCCTCAGTCCCTAGGTCGCCATGTTGCCTCCCCAGAGCCCCGCTAAAGGGCACGGTGGTGCCCCAGCACCTCACCTAGGTTCTAGCTAGTCTTTGCACAGACCTAGTGTCGGCCGATAGAGATGGCCAGGGCGACCCAGATCCACGTTAACTCGCGTTATGGAGGTGGCTGTGAGGCGGCCTCGCGCTCGCCTCGGAGGAGCTGGCGGGAGCCGCGTGCCGCGGCGCCCGCCCCTGTGCCCGCCTGAGGCGGCGGCGGCCCCGGGAGGAGCGGGACGGCTGCTCTCCGCCCGGCGCTGCCGCTCCCCGCAGCGCTCAGAAGGGGCGAGCTCGCTCCCCGCCGCAGAGGCAGCTCGGCGCCGCCGGGAAGGAAGCGCCGGCGATGGAGCGCAGCGGGCAGGAGCCGCCGTCCGCTACCCACCAGGTACCAGGGGGCAGGATCAGCGACATGGGGCCGAGCTGCGCTCGCGGGGAGGAGAGCGGCTCTCCGCGGCCAGGCCGGGGTACCAGGACTCCCCTGCCTGCACTTCAGCACCCGCGGCCCCTTTTCGGGAGCCGGGCGGGGACTTGGGGGGGCGCCGGGGCCCCTTGCGCAGTTTAGGCGGCCAGGGTGGCGTTGGCTTTTGGCGGGTTTGTGTTGATGGGCTGTGCCTAGCAGCCCGGCTCCCTCTGTGCTAACGAGCTGTCCGTAGGCAACAGCTTCATTTCTGTACATTTTTTTCCCTAACTTGGAGTGCTCGGATCACTCCTATGAGCAGTGTAAGGTATAAAGTGCCAAAAATACCACAAAGGGAAAAAAAAAAAAAGAGAAGAGAGGGAGGGGAGAAGAAAAATTAATGAATACGACCCTCAGAAGTTATGGAGTGATGTCTGGAATCAGGCTTGTGTGAACACGAAGCTTCAAGCATCCCACCTCCTCACGGGCCCGCTGCCATCAGCCCGATACTTTGAAACCAGATATTTCCATAGGAGCCAAAGTTACAGTGTCATTAGTATTCTTAATAAACTGTTGACTGAAATCGAAAAACGCATAATAAAACCTTGAGTGCCTTCAGGTGCTGCCATATTCTAATAATAAATTATTATTTTTATTGACTAATGAGATTAATCAAACTTTTTTTAAATATAGTTTGTTCATATGCAGCCTTTGGAGCAAAGCTTCAACAAAAACTCTTAATGTCTGCCTGTAAGCTTATTCACATATATCTCTGTTCTTCTGCTTATGTTCTCTCAGAGATGAATTTATTACAGAAGATTATGGATCAGGCTTATAAGGGAATTAGATGCGTGAGACTCCTTGGATTTTTCATTTGAAAAAAAATATTTAAAAAATCTCAATCTGTGAAAATACAGAAAATACATTGAAATTTTTGGTCTTGCATTGACTATGTTAAAAATATATTAAAAATATGTAAAAACCTTGTTCTTGCCTGTTTTCCATTGTATGATGCTGTTACTGTCTTCCTGAAACAGATAGAGACAAATGACCAAACAGCCCTGGTTGTTAAACCCAGAGATAAAAGAGGAAACAGTGATTTAGCGTCAGCTGGATTTAACATTATCAACTCTATCATAGGATCAGGTATTATAGGTGAGTATAGATCTCTTCATTGTAGATTGATGAACCTTTTCTTATATGTACTTGCAGTTCTCAGACAAAATAAACAATTCTTCTGATTTTCTGTTCCTGATTCTAAAGGTTATTATCTATTACTTGAGAATGCAGAGGTCTCAGTTAAAATTAAAGGTATCATTGTGATAAAGTTTCTACTTATTGTTTTGCCATTTTGACCCTCTGGTTCAGCAAGTGCTGGCTTGAACCTTAGGTCTGGGCAACTCTTTGTCCTTTAAACATGTAGATTTTTTTTTTTTCCCCTTGGGTGTATGAAGTATACGGAGAAACCTTGCTCTGTATTAGTCCAATCTGGGAAAATGATAGTTTTTTTTTGGGGGGGGGAGAGACTGTATTTTGTTTGTTTTGACTTATGTTTGTTTTGATCTGGAAATTGCTTTATTTTAGTCATGACATGCAAAGGGCGTTTGCATAGGTTCTTATAGAATCTCATTTGTCTTGCTCTTTGCAGGGTTGCCATATTCCATGAAGCAAGCTGGCTTTCCTTTAGGAATACTGCTTTTATTTGGGGTTGCCTATATCACAGGTACTATAAAAGCAGCTTCTATTGTAAACTGGAAATTAGACCTGAATAGATTAGCTGTCTTTGAACTTTATGATAGCTAAAAAGGTATACCTATAAATAAATAAAAACGAAGATTTTTAAAAATTTCTTTCATTAATCCCCTGAGCAGATTAGAAATTGAAAATTATTTTGTACAACGTTTGTTTTTGTGAAGCATTTTCTTAGACTAGGTCAAGGTGACATTTGGAAGAATGGCTTTTATTTGTATTTCATAATTACATGTTTATAGTCCATTGTTTTTATCCTAATTAGGGGGTAAACCAAGCTAGGTTACATTTCACATGTTTTAAATGTAGCCGAAAAATAAAACCTTTGAATGTATTATGCTGAGTATCTTATAATTTGGTTGTGTGCAAAATCTGTTGCTAATTATTACTTCCTCACTTAAAGTGCTTCAAGTGTAGGATAAAGTATGTTACGTGAACATTTATTTTCCCCAGTTTTCACTGAATAGTGATTGCTTATACTGTGCAAGAATTGCCTGTGCTTAGGGGAATCTCTCTGGATTGATTTTCTTATTAACATACAGTAGAAATCTCCTCTGTAATGTCTATGAAAATTTCACAATTGCTATGTGAAATTGAGCTATGCACAATTTACAGCTGGTAGAATTTTAAAAAATTGGCGGATTTTTAAACAAGAGTCACAATTTCATGCATTCTTAGAAGATAATAAACATTAATAATGCTAGCAGAAAGCAGCCTACATTACAGACTAGGCAAAAGACAGATAGATGAGGAATAGACAAAGTCTAGCCCCTGTCTGTCAAGACATATCTGTACTAAGGTAATAAATTCTGTGCTGTGACTAATCCAGATGGCAAAATCTCTTGGTGCTCAATCAATTACTAAATCACAGCCTGAAATAACTAATACTAACTGTAATTTTTCATACTAGGTGGAGGTTCACTCAGGATGTGATGCTACTTGTGACCTCAGCTCTGCTGCAAGGCATGTTGCCTCATACAAGAAAGGGGCTCAGTTTGAAGGGCATTCAGTCCCTGCGTTTCCTAATAAATCACTCTGCATATGCTTTCTTTAAAAGAGTACTCAATAAAAATGGTTAAAATACTGTTTATTTTTTATGATAGATAATGGAAAAGGACCAAAGTTTTTCTTTTGCGACCTTAACTAAGCAGAGTAACTAAGTGATCCAGAGCTCTAGCACCAAAACATAGATAATCTCACATTCCACGGCACTTGAAGATATAGTGGCATTTACCATTTGTTCAGAAGTTCTACACATTGTTAACTGAATCTTCTTTGGTTTTGGTGCTCATGACAGTTCTTACTGCCTTTCACTGCCCTGGAAGGCAGTGAAAATGAGACTACTTTAGCTGTCTCAACTCACGAAAGCAGGAATTTACTTCCAATATAAGCCTACAATTCTGGCTTTGGTGGATTGAAATCCTTTATAAGGAGAGTTCTCTTCCCTGCTTTTCCCAATGCAGCCGTTTTTCCTGTCTGCAGATTTTGTTTGTATTTTAAAGAGTGAACAAACTGAAGAGTAACCAACTTATTGTTTTTAATAATTATTTTATATTTTAACAGATTATTCCATTATATTACTGATCAAAGGAGGGAACCTCTCCAGTACAAGCACCTATCAAGAACTGGTCAGAAAAACATATGGTCTTATGGGTTATTTAATCCTTTCATCTCTTCAGTTTTTATATCCATTTATTGGTAAGATCATATAAATGTTTAAAAAAGCAAAAAGCATGAGTAAGGCTTAACTGTAAAGCAAAAGTAAAGGCTTAATTGTAAAGAAAAAAATAAAAGGAATTGACTTGTTTTGCTTACACAAATGGAAAACTGAAACAGTTTATTTCTTTATGTTGTGGGAAGAATAGAGGAAGAAACTAGTGAGGGACAAGAGAAATTTATGCTATATGGAGAAAGAACAAACAGGTATAACCTGAGCAAGAATTAATTAGGAAGTTAGAACAAAGCTAGTATTCTGAATCTTTTCCCTAAAGTGGTAATGTGAATGAATCAAGTCTTAAATGAGCCTGATATTCTAATTAATGGAACTGTAAGAGGTGGTGACCTGAAAGACTAAAAAATTGGACTCGATGGCCCAGTAGGATCTCCAGAGTGAAATTCTTACATTAAGAAAAATCGATCTAATGTTAAGTGTTTGAAATTCTTGAGCAAAATTATTGTTGCTACAGGCAACCGTATGGCAACTATGTGGCATTTCACATTATTGTATAAAGCTATATCACTAAAAGTAGAATCATCACTTTTCAAAATGCAGATCCATTTTTGTAGACCTACTTGTTGCTTTCTTAAGAAAAGAGTTGTAAAGATCTCAGTCCTTCACAGAGAGCAAGTTATGCATATGTTTGTGCTTGAATTTATTTTAGAAATTATCAGTTGTGAAATCGAGTGAGTTAAGGTCAGGTCTATATATATGTATGCTGTATGAATGTACAGAGGTTAAAGACCATATGTATATTTTACATACATGTTTGCATATGTTAATGTACAAACATGTTTATTTTTAGTGTGGCTGAAATATGAATGTTAGGACCCCACTTTTTATTAATGACAGAAAAGAATTCAAGTCCTTTAAAAAGTTCTTTTAAAGTTCTCTTTCAGTTGCTACTTGTTAAAAAAGCAAAAATAGCAACATTAAAGAATTCTTTTTTTTTTTTTTAGTTTGTTTTAAACCTAAAACTTGCAAGTTGTTGGTGCTAGCCAGAGTTTGAACAAGAGAAGTATTGGCATACAATTCTAATGTCTGCAGCATATGCTTGTTAAGTCCTTATCAAACACTTGAGTACCAATTAGGTACCCCATATTTGACATGTATTAACTAATGGGTTTTTTTTTTGTCTTTTTCTTTAAGCTATGATCAGTTACAACATAATAACAGGAGATACTTTAACTAAGGTTTTTCAACGTGTTCCTGGAGGTAAGGTGCATTTAAGAATATGAGAAAGGGGAAAATGTGTAGTGAAAGTGCGTAGGGATTTGCATTCTGTTAGACTGAAGGCTTATTTACTCATTATTTTCTGAATTATTTTAAAATGTAGTTTAAATTAAGATGTCTTCCTTCCTTATCTGTGAATTGTGAATTCATAAGGATCTAAAATTCTTACTTGTTTGTTGGGGTGGATGTTTTTGTCAAAGAAAAACTATGAATCCTAGACCTCGTTTGTCTTTGGACCCTGTGTCAGTGAAGAAGACTTTTTCTTCAGTAAAATATGAAGGAAATCTAAGAAATCTTCCTCAGTAGTATGACTACAAGATCATCAACATGCTTAACTTCACTGTCATATTCAGTGGAAAATTGTTAAAATAATCATCATTTTTAAAACAGTTCTGGTATTCATCTAGTAGCTAATTCTGGATTACTTGCAAATAATAGATTCAGTGCTTACCTGAGCTATCTGTTTAGGTAGTTTGGAACTGCGTAGGTAGCTTTAGTTCTCTTTTAAATGTTCTCTGCAAAAACAGAAGTGGCATTTTGAGATTTTTACTTCATATATTTGTTGACACTTCTGTGCTGAGAGCTTAAATTCCCACACAGAACCAGTTGAGCAATTTATGTTCATGGCTGTCATCTGCTTTAGTACAAAGCTGACCAAGTTCAAACGTTCGTCACTGGTGAATTAAACTAAAAAGAACATCTGCAGTGAAGTGGAAACAAGAATTCGTATGAATTGTTTTATTTCTTTTTAAGGGGACTATGATTTACAGCAGGTGTAAGCCTATAAGGTTTGAATAGTTCTAACTGTCACACAGTGTTCTTCAGTGAGGCTGATCAAAACAGCCTCACTGTCTCATATCTAATAATGACTTTTGTAATAAGGGGACCCCTCAGGATGGTGCAGCTTTTCACTTGGCTGTTAGAATGCTTGCCTGGGAAGGGAGAGGTGAGGTAGTACAGTTTCCTGCAGAAAAGAGGAAACTGAATGTAGGTTTTCTGTGTCAATTGCAAATCACTTTCCAGACAAAATTATTCACTAACTTTGATACAAATTCCTGAATCATTGTGATCTGTCTGTATCTGAGATGTATGTTGTGTTCAGTCGCTATTGGCTTGAAAAAAAATCCTGTTGTAGATTAAAAATCTTACTGACTTCAGAGAATGTTATGACAAATACTCTCAATACCTACACATGGTTATCTATACTGTGTTAAATAACATCAAAAAGGAGATACTCTAGAGAACCTCCTAAATGAACTTAAAGTACATAAAATGTATGGGATATGATACCATATCAAAACATTAATTCCGCATTTGTATTCATAAAGAAGGAACATAAGTTCATTTATGTTTGCGGAATTCTTCTGGTTATGCACACACTGTGTATGTCTCCCTTAAGCTTAACTAATACCTGTATTTTATTTTAGTACTGATTAGTTGGAATAAAGGAGATAAAAGCATAGGCAACATCAGAGTGCGCTACTACTCAACTTTCAGATCTGACTAATTTGTTTCTCATTTCAGTTTCTGAGAGAAATAACATACAATTTCCTTCTTTGTTTTAGTTGGACCAGACAATATACTCGGTGACCGTCATTTCATAATTCTTTTTACCACCATCATCTTTACCTTACCAATATCTCTGTATCGTGACATAGCCAAACTGGGGAAGGTAATAGCAATAGCAGGGTTTGGTTTTTTTTTTTTTTTTTTTTTTTTTTTTTTTTTTTTGTTGGTTGGTTTGGTGTCCTTCTCTATATACCATTACAACATAAGTGCCAATCATGAATTAAGGTATTTGCATTACATCTGATTAGAATCACTACATACTTTGTAATTTTGGTCTGTTCTCTGTCCCAGGAAATATGAGAAGATTTTGGGGACTCTAAAGAACATATTGGTATCCAAAGAAAATCCAGTGACTCACTGGATTTTCCATTTACTGTTGATGGAAATCACTGGGTTATTGAAGCACCAGTGATATGGGCATGATCTTGAAATACTGAGCACTGTTGATACTCAGTGTTTAAGTCATAATTTGGGATACTGTTGCAATAGGCAAGTTGTGAAAGCAAGAAACTATAGGACAACTAACTAACAAACAAGTGTTTGATATTTTTAGTATTTAGAAACTGCTTTATTAATTGCTCCTTTTTAAAACAGATTATGCTGCTAAGAAAGGAAAACCATGAGGAGCTCACAAACTGAAGTTGTGTTTTTTCCTTACAGGTATCTCTTATTTCTCTGATTTTAACCATTGTCATCCTGGTTATTGTGATGGTGAGGACAGTGACATTCAGTCCACAAGTGTAAGTACTCTTTCACTTAGTTTATAGTATGTGAGGTTGCTTAGTAGTTTGAAGTTTTGGGTTCATTATTGTTACCTAGTCTATATCTATCATGTCTATAATGTTGAAATAGCTAGTGTTCTAGGAACTTTATTTTTAATTATTAATCACTTTGTGATGAAAATTGAATACAAATGAGGAAAAGGAAAAAGTGAAGAGCACTGGTGGAAAAAAAAAAAAAAAACCTGCTGGCTATTTGAGAGAAGCGATTAAATGAACATGTAGAATGGTTTTCTACTACTCTTATTTCACTGAAAATAATTATGTAACATTGAGGTGTTCTAGACACTGTATGTTGTGACTTGCACTTTCTTTCTTTTTTCTGTAATTGAATTGTAAGAATCTTAATTTCTTTCCTTCATTCCCTAAGGTGTCTGCTTTGTCTCTTTTAGCTAAAACAGACTCCTAACAAACATGAAACTATTTCAGTAAAGAGAACTTGTCTATTTCTGATAGCAGTTTTTATTTATTGGACTAATTTACATAGTATTTCCAGTGCTTCCAGAAGCAGATTCTTTCACCATGTATATCAGTAATGTCATATGTAACTATGCTTTTTTATTGTTTTAGTGATCAGATGGTCTGATTGTAAAATATTCAGGTTTTAATACTGATAGTTAAAACAAGAGCTCTGGTACACTTCGAAAAAGTACACCATGAAAAAGTGTACATCTTAAATGTGTATTTGAAAGGAAACTCTCAAAACCTAATTAAAAAAGGAAGCTATGTGTAATGGCTAGTGATGACCTTGTTACCTGTGGTAACATGTCCTCTTACCAATGATGATGTATTGAAAAATACAGCATGTACAGCTTTATTTTTTTCTCACCTTAATTAATGCTGATTTTGAGGATTTCTTTGAGTCTTACCATTAGATATATATGTTTTTTAATATTGTAGAGACTTTTCCATGGTTCTTTTGTACTTGTTTTCAAAAATTAATCTGGCAAGTTTCTGGTTTTTTTTATGAGAACAAAGAATATAAGAATTGCACGTTTCAAACTCACTATAAAGTGTACTTGTTCCAGCTTCCACATTATTACTGAACATGCTCAGAAATGGTAGGCTTAGGTCGTATTTCAGGGGAACCTCATTAAAAATTCTCCTCTTTGATTACAATTCTGTGATGAAAAATCAGTTTTTACCTACTTTTTATTCTAGACTTTCAAAATGAAGATTATTTGCTCTTGAAAAGTACAGCAATTATCTGGGGATGATAAAAGTTTATTTTTGCTTAAATGAAGTACAGTCTCTGCTGGAAGTCAGTGTCTGCTGTTAGGCCAGAAAATGTTCTTTTCTTTTCCAGAAACCTTTTCTATATTGTGCAGAAAAAATTTTACTACTTGTAGTGATTTAATGTTTTGATTTTTGGTAATGAACTCTTTTTAATTGTTTTGAGAATAGAGTGAGTTGATTCAAGACAGTGTGAAAGTGTTACTTTTTTGTTAGTTTTCAGGAAAGGAATACTGTGTTTGTGAAGAGTGTTACTTGACTTGATTTAATTTCCTCTTCATGATAAATATGAAACAGACACTTGTGTTTGATCAATATTATTATGGTGATCTTTGTCTGAAGAACATGACGTGTCTGCAGATAACATGAAGTGCTTTGAATCTAGAGCTTAGCCTCAATTATGGCTTAGAGGTTGGATAAAAATAGGTAGATAATATTTTGTTTCCATTGGCTTGTAGCTGAGTGTCTTTCTAAAGATACTGCTAAAAAACAATGGGTTAAGGTTATCTCAAGCTGCAAGTATGTTAACAAGGTAACTTGCTTGGTCAGAGATGAAGTTAACATTGATTCAGAAGACAGGCTTATAAGTAGTTTATAAAGATGCATCATTTCAACTTGGTGCTCTCTTTGGAAGACTGCTGTGATGGCAATGTCTGTGTAATAAGTAAGTCTGCAGGAAAAGCCTCAAGAGCATATGCTACAAATAGATGAGATGTGAAAATTTCTCAACTGGCAGCTTATCACAGGGATGAAACATCAAGTGTTCAGGAATAAAAAAGTAGAGAGTAGAAAGTTGTTTACTATTGGATTATTTAGAAGCAAGAAAGATTCAGAGGTAAACTTTAATGTATGATAAAATTAAAAACAAAAAAAAAAGAACTTTTATTTACAGAATTGTTAGGAAATTCAGAAGCAGAATGGGGAATTAAATCACCTTCAAAATAGTGGACCTATGGCAGATATCATTAACCTGCTCTTTGTTCCTCAGTGACAAAGATGATTTTGATTAAATTCAAGGTTGACCTGAGCATTAATCGCTTCCTTTCCACAGTGTTGATGAAATTATATGCAGTGTCTGTAACAACTCTTACAGTTTAAATCAAAGCAGAAGAATACGCTAACTTTTTTTTTTTCTTGTGATGGAACTGAACCTAGGTTTTATGCTTAGTCTCTTTGTTTCCTAAATGACTAAATCACTGAACTAAATCTGAATTTGTCATGTATTTATCCGTTATCAGTCATCTCAGTTTGAAAGTAGTTTTGGCTATTTGTCTGTGATCTTTAATCCAGAGCAGTGGAGTCTTCTGATGATTTCAGCATGTATTTCCCTACAGTCAAAAGTGTTACTTCTTCCTGTTTGCAAAATCACTTTTTCATTTCATTGAGTCTTTCATGTATATATGCTAGCTGTATTGAAGTCAGGAATGTATGCTCCTCTTCTAGTTGGTTTTCTTCTGATGTATTCTGTCTCATATTTGGCAGCATTTCTGCATAAATAACAGAGCAGACTTCTGCATAGCATAGATCTTGTGATACTCTACTGTAAATGCTTGACAAAAAGAACTAGATTTGCTACCCTTAACTGCCAAAGAAATTTCCCTGGATCTTGCCTAGGATGGGCCTTTTATTGCAAGAAAGGGTACTAATCTTCACTTGAGTTCTTTTTTTTCCCCTGTGTTTTTGTTTTTGTTTTCCTTTTCTATTGTTCTAGCATAAGTAAACAATGGTCATCTCCAAAATGCTTTTCACATTCACATGCAGATTTACTGTGTCTTAGTTCAGTGTACTAAAACCAGAGTAAAGTCATATTTTCTTCACTGGTGGGCTCTTCATCACCTTCCTACACACAGTGTAAATTGTTTGCTGTTGTCTTTCTTTCAGTATAGACTTTATTTGACTAATAAGTCCTATGGAACATCTTTTTATCCCGTCCTGTATTTTTGTTCCAAGACTCACAGTTACATTACCACTGAGATTTTCTTCTGTGTTACAACTTAAACTGAGTATTATATATGCTACAGCCCTCAGTGACTGCAGTTAGCATCAAATTTCTTCCTATTAACTTCCATTGTATTTTGTCTACCTTCTGCTGCTTCTTGAACAGTAAATAATGATATGTTTGCAAACATAGCTTGTTTTATACACTAAGTGAGGAGCAAGAAGGAAAGAATATTCCTGTTTCTACAACTAGCCAGTTTCATCATTCACAGATACTTAGTTACCACTGTTTTTAAGTAAGGAGAATATATTCAAGTGGGACAGGAAAAAAGAACTGGTAAACAGCAAATGAGAGGGAGAGAAAGCTGCTGCTGTTGTCTTCACAGAGCTCTCCTGGTAGTCACTTCTTTGCAGGGTGGTAAGAAAATAATAGTTAACTTCTGAGATGGTAAGAGCTTTCTTTCTAAATGAAAAAAGAGTAACCAAAATGAGCAGCACAGGCTACTCTAATAATGTGTGCTTTAACATTCAGAAGTAAAATGTTGAATAAGGATGTGAACTTCACCTGTTGCTTTAGAAAATTGCAACTCAGGAGAAAGGTATTTCCTACTCTTCTTCTTTATTGCATTTTGGTTCTTTAGTCGGAGATGTTCATGCAGCAGCTGAATTTTAACCAAGATTATTTGCAATTTTCTGTGGTGCTTCAAGAACTGATCACTGAAACCGGTTCCTGTTTTTGGCCATACAAACCTGTCCTTGAAACTTGAGCTGAAACAAGGGAAACGAGATGGACATGTCACAGTATGCAACTTCTCTTGTGGCCTGCTGTGGAGAGATTAGAGGCTGTGACTAGCGGCTTTGTATTACAGTGGTATTTTATTTTAATAAGTGATAGTTGAATAATTTATTAAAACAAATATCTGTTTTAGACCTAAATCAGAAAATGCTTGGATATTTGCAAAATCAAATGCAGTACAAGCCATTGGGGTGATGTCATTTGGTAAGTCAGTTCCTTGCATTTTCAGTCTTCAGACTGACAAAATCAATACTTTTGGACCTGGAAATTGTGTATTACTTTTTCTACCTTGATATTAAGCTGGCTGAGAAAAAAAAGTAGTTGACTTTGAATCATCATTAGGGGAATCTACTTGTTATTATTTAAGACTTTATACGCATCTATTCTGCATCATGCTATAGAGACTGTTTGGAATTGTAAGGAACAGAACAGCTGTGAATGCAGCTCAAATGTCCAGTTCATAATTCCTATCTGTAATCACTGCATCAATTATGTTTAGTATGATTTGTGTGTGAACTGATGTGACTGTGAGCATTCTCCTCTCTCGTGGATAACCACTGACAGATAAGACTTACACTAGAACTAGATTGACTAGAGAGCACCTGTTATTTCCCACAGTGAAGCTCTCGAATGAATCTCAGCTCACATACATTATCCTCATTCTAAAATCCATGCTTGCCTGGTTATCTAGTATGCTACTTCATGGAAATGCTGTGGCAAGCTGAAGCCTCCCTCTACTTGTTGCTCCCTAAAATGCAGGTCATAGAAAGTCCAAAGTTGCAAATAGTTCAAAAGCTCTGTGGAGTTCTTGTGCTGAAGAGTAGAATGGGAGAAGAAAGTAGAAGTTGAAATGAGCATGTGGATAGGGGATGAAATAATGTGGCTTGTTAGGATAGTGTAATCAGAATCACATTATGCTGAACAGAAAAGATTAATCTTCACTGAATTAAACGAGTAAATACAAGTTCCAGTCACTTAACTTTGCTGCTGACTTCAGGATTAATGTCCTCATGTAACAGTGAGTGGTTTCAGTTCTGTGTTCCCCCTACCTTAGAATATGCACTCCACTATTTTTCTTTTTTATATACATATGCATAAAGTATTTGCTTTAATTATGATGTGTATTTCAGCATTCATTTGCCACCATAACAGCTTCTTAATCTATGGCTCTCTGGAAGAACCTACTTTAAAGAACTGGTCTCGAATCACACACACGTCAGTCTCGCTTGCTGTTATTATCAGTGTAGTGTTTGCTGCTTGTGGATATATGACTTTTGCAGAATACACAGAAGGTAAACTGCTCAATGTGCTTATTTTGATGTTCATTGTAATCCTTATGTTTTTCTGTTTGAATTCTGTTGAGAATACATTATTATGTGAAGAAGTGCCAAAGCCATTACACTTGGAAAGAAACGGCTAGGAGAAACTTTCTTTGTAGGTATCCAACAAACAAAAGTTGTGCAAAGTTATCTGTATGGCAAGAGGTAACAAATTCCCAAGTGTAAGCCTCAGTGATGAAATTCTGCCTTAGATCCTTCCATAATCCAAAGCTCAACATCCATCATCTATCTGCATGGTAGTCTTAACAGGACAGAGCAGGAAGAACAAAAATTGACTAAATTTTTCTGTGAGGTGCCGGATGTTTATTTCTGTACGTTTTCTCGTACAGTTTCCTGCTTGTGTTAATGCGGCATCCTTGCTCTTAGAGATGTTTCCTGTCTTTACAATAGAATTTTTTTTGCTACAATTAATGCCGCTGTCGCCTCTCTGTGTGTCTTTTAGTGTATTAATGCAATGTGTATTAGCATAAAATACTAAAACAGAGTATGTAAGCATTTCTTTATCTCGATAATGCTATTTCAACCTGTAGGAAATGGTTTCTTAGCTTTTTTCCTGCTGTGATGAGCTGTGGAATTTAGCTGAGAAAAGAGATGAGAGGTAGGAAACTAGAAAAGAGATGAGAGGTAGGAAACTAGTTGGTCCCTCCTCTTTTTTTCCCCTCTGTGCTGTTTATGAATAATTCCACCCTCATTGTTGCAATTTTCCAGTCAACTAAAGTGCAAACTGAGTGAGACCGTTCAGGTGTGGAAAGCTCTTGATGGCAGCTGCTTCTTGGCCTAAGACTGTAAAATGGAATCTCACAGTATCTTTCAGCTGTCCTCTCAAAACCTTCTGATGATGTGATTTCTAGAGCACAACTGATTGCTGCTTCACTATGATTGTCATCTTAAAAGAAATAAATCATCAAAGTAGTATAATACAAGTCAGAGGCAGAAAGATCTGCCAGGTCACTCTCTTGGTTTCTCAAGAATCACCATTCCAGACTCTTCAATGTAAATGCTAATCAAGGTGATTTGAACTAGCTAGCCAGGTTTTTGTTACTTAGTGAATTGTTTTGTATCAGCTGCACAGTTTATGTGTGATTAGCTGCTCTGAGCAGAATGCAGTTCTGCAGAGGTATTCTTGTGTAATTATTCTTGTGCTAAGATTAACCTTTTTTAAAGTGGATGTTCCTTTTATGTACCTTTTTTTTTTTTTTTAAATCTGTTAAATAACAAGCATCTTATACCAAATCACTGCAAAGGACTGCTGTGAGGAAACTAACATGTGACAAACATTACATTGCGTTTATTAAATATTTTAAAATAAATGCCAATTCAAATAAAAACACTGCTACTGTCTGCTGTCTGGTCAGGATGAAGGTTCCTTCTGGATATAATCGTGACTAACCATAGTTTCTTGATAAATGTAATTAAAGTAGGTAAGAAAGTCTTACGTGTCAGTAGAAAGTGGCTCTGGTAACTTGCAATTAACAATTGTTATGGCAAGTAACAACTCAATTATCGAAATGTCATGCAATTGGAAAGAAATGATGTTCTGTTATGCTTCAGGAGATATATTTGAAAACTACTGTAGAGATGACAACCTTGCTACATTTGGAAGATTTTGTTATGGAGTTACTGTAATTCTGACCTTTCCCCTTGAATGTTTTGTGACCAGAGAGGTAAGTGTTTATCGTCTTCCTCTCACAGTATTGGTACCTTGTTCACTGCACTATAAATACATAACAATACATATTGTAGCAATAGATGATGGAGGGTATGATGAGAAATGTCAGCATATCCTTTTCTGTTGTATATAATAGATATGAAGCATTAGATGCAGCACTTAGATTCTAGCATTTTAATACTCCATTATACTTAACTAAAATATTATTCAATTTTATACTAATAATCACTTAATGATAAATATCAGGGTAACTTCTGCTGTAGTCAACGTGTTGAGAATAGCTGAATTTATAGGAGATCTCTAATAGATTTATAGTAGATGTGATAATTTTTCTCTATTGAAGGAAGTTTGTCCATCTAGGAAATGCTTCTTTTCAATAAAGAATGGTATTGCAAGTGGTTTAATTCTGTCACAGAGGAATGAGAAAGAAATAAATGTACCCTGAAATTATGATTTAGGTAGGACTCTTGTTAATTATTTTTGGAAGAAGATGAAGAAGCTTTCTTGAAGCAAGGTAGGTAAAGTTGAGTCAGTATGTTCCTGACAATTCTTCTAGTTTTCTAAGGTCCGAAGATTTGCAACAAACTGTTAAAGAACAAAAGTTTCAAACTGTGGTTCTGTTTCAGGTGATTGCCAATGTATTTTTCCATGGGAACCTCTCAACAATATTCCACATTTTTGTGACCATAATTATCGTTGCGGTGGCAATGGCTGTCTCATTAGTATATGACTGTCTTGGAATAGTTTTAGAGCTGAATGTAAGTGACTCTGAACTCTTATTCTCAATAAATTACTCTTTCCAATAAAGCATGCTTCATCAAATTCACAGCTCTGCTAAAAACTAATTAATGCAGTATGATATTTGACTTGAAATGTTAGGAAAAAAAGGAATAATGCAGTGCTTTAGGTAATAAAAGGAGAAAGGAAATTCAGGACAAATTCAGTTCAAACGAAAAACTGGCATAGCAATCTGGAGATAAGGTAAGTAGCATAGACTGTTAAATGTTTTAACACTGTGGTGAGAGTCGTTAGAATCTCCAGCCTACCTGGTACTGCAGGGTTGTATCCAGTGTTTCTTTTTCTAGCCCCTTGATCCGAAGTAGGCAGATTACTTAGTTTTGCCCCATTCCATTTCCTGTCTCTGTGCTGTCACTACTTCTGGTTCTGTCTTGGCTTGATTTTGTTTTAACCTCTCCTCTGGCATGAGGCAGTGTTTAGGATTTGCTCCAAGATATGGTAATCTCAAAATCAGCGTGTGTGATTTCAGGACAGAATGTTTCACACGGCAAACTGGCCCATGTTTGGCACTGCCTCACAGCAGGGGTGGGGTTTACCGTGCAGGCCTCCAAGTGCCTGTTTTCTTAAAAATATGTCTATAGAAAGATGTTAAAGCTAAAACTTATTTTCGCTGATTGGACCAGCAATTTTGTCTACAGTCCTAGACTGTTAGTTAAAGGAATGGACTTATCATATGGGGTCAGTCTTTATGGGCATAAAATGTGCCTTCAATCAAAAGAAGTCTTCAGAGCAGGTGCAAATTTTCCAGTCTGCTTTTATGACAAGAATTGTTTGTCTAGATAGTTTACTTTGAATTTCAGGCCACCTATTTTTGATAATAATAAAGCACGTGGGGATCTCGTACTTCAGGGTATAAAAAAAAAAATGGAAAATGGAGAAAACATTTTTAATGGCAACCTTTTTTTCTTTTCAATAGTAAGGTTTTATAATAAGAAATTATATCTATTTAGGGAAACTACCAATTAGTCTTTCTAGCATGATCAAATATGTGCAGTTACTATTGCATTGAACTCAAAAGTCCTTTAAAACAATCATGAAAACTAAGCATCCCATGAATGCAGTGCTTCTTTCTGGACAGGCCTAGGCAGTAGTCAGTTGTCAGTCGTTGGATTCAGTTAGGAGGAGAAATGCAGAGGCAGATATTTGAGTAGGTAGGGAGGTGTTTGTCAATACAGCTGTGCATTTCTTGGGGATAATCCTTGCCCTAAAGATTATTCACAGAGACTTGTTTGCCTCAATGGAGGAAAAACAAAACAAAGAAGCAGGCTTTCTATTACAAAAGGAAATAAAGATCTGCTTTTCAAGCAGGTTCCATGACCAACAAAAGGGATCTTTAGCTTCTCACCATTGATAGCACTTGATGCCCCTCAAGCCCTGCTTGCTTTTTCCCAACTGTCTAGTTCTAAAACAAAGCACAAGCCACTATGTGTGTTCTCTGGTAAATCACCAAGGAAACTGGGGGTTGTGCAGAAGTGCAGAAGTCTGCATACCTATGTGTACCACATGTTTGAGTCTCATTTTTTAAATGAAAAAGATACTTGGTATGTTCATTTAATTTTTTTATGTCTGTGCTGATCATTTTTAATAGTTTCTACCAGTCTGAATTATTTCAAATAATTTGCAAATTTTTGCAAATTATAACTTGGAAAATTCTCTATCTAGTAACACTGGAAAAAGGCTACTATTCTCCAGCTTTGCTTTTCCTTCAATCTAATTAATCATTTAAAAATAATATAGGTCCTTGTGCTTCGAATGGCGTTATATATTCTTACTAGGTTTTGTTACTTCCCATACACAGGGAGTTCTCAGTGCCACTCCACTCATCTTTATCATCCCAACAGCGTGTTACCTAAGGCTGTCCAAGGAGCGATGGAACCACTCGGATAATATCATATCCTGCCTGCTTCTTGCTGTTGGTGTGCTGGTGATGACTGTTGGGCTTGTTCTCACTGTCTGGCATCCCCAGGGATGTAGCCATGGAAAAGAAATGCCCTACTGCTTCCCTAGTAATGTTTCTTTTCATAATAGTACACTTCCACCTTAGGAAGTGCACAGATCACCAAACTGGGTCATCAGGTATGTCTCCCAGCAAGCTGTTTGTTGATTTAAATAAGATTGGAAGAAAGACTACAACAAATAATGTTTTTGTGTGTGCTGAGAATTCTGACCTGTGTTACTGAACAAACACTTGACTTTATGCTGCAGTCGTTCTAGAAATAAGATGCAGTTTTTAACTTTTGAAACTGAATTACTCTAAAATGCACTTCAGTAGGTATTACTTGAATAACTTGTACGCCTTCCAAAAAGGCTGCATTTTTTTTATAGTTTTAATGAGTTGGCAACCTTACTTGAATGGTATGTTTAGGAATGTAAACTTGTCCCATGACGAACACCATTTAGTTATTAACTTTATAGTTTTTTAATGTGTATATACTAGCATACTATTGTATATTTTAAGGAGTCCTGAAACAGAGACCCAGCCACTGTCTGTTATTAAAATTGTGCTTTGAAATGGAAAGATACTAATTCTGTCTTTGATTTAGCAGTAACTGTCCTTAAGTGCTGAAAGTATCCCTTGTGCTGGATCTTCTCTCGAGGGTAATTTTATATCCTTTCTGAAGTGTAACTGATACAGTTCAACTGTATGAATTACAGTTTGAGGTCTGGGAACTGAAAGTTTTTTAATAAAACCACACAAGTGAATTTGCAAAGAATGTTTACTTGATTTTTTTTAATTAAAAAATATTTTTTTGATTTGGAGGGGAACAGTTTAAGAGGCTTAAGCGTGACAGTCTTGTGATTTCACTGCACAGTCATTCTGAATGCACTGCTTCACGTGGTGGCAGGGCTATTGGTCCTGTTAATGGAGCTTTCTTCAGCCTTTTAGATCCAACTGTATAGCTGATCTGCCTTGTATGTGAGTGTGTCTTCTACACCAGTTCTTCCACACCCCATAGAGCTGGAGTTGGCTCAGAATTCCCTATAACAACTGGTGAAGATGGTTTCACATGAGTTAGGAATGTCTTGTTAACTTTCCAGTTTATTTTTCTTCCTCATGATTTTGCTTGAAGGATTTTTTTTGTCCTAGTTGAAAGTATTAATTATAACCATCCTTGCTTTTGGAGACCACAGTCAATAGAATAATTCATAGGATGCTATCATAGCATTTTTTTCTGCTTAGGTGTTATTTTGAGATTATGCTAATATTAAATCAAATATACTTGTTTTATGAAAGACATGTTTTTCTGTGCCTTGCTGTTCATATTATAAATGCAAATTGAAAAAAAATTATTTCATGATGCTTTTTAATTGTGTAGAGTCTTAGGTAGTAATGGTTCATTAAATGTTTGTGGTGGTGTTGAAGCTAAAACAGTTTCTTTTGCCGAAACTAATTCCATTAATTTTAACATATAATCATGGATGGCTCACAGGTTTTATTTTACAAACTTGCTGAGTGAAAATGGGGCTCTCTCAAGGAGAAGTATACTGAAAAGCCAAGTCAGATGTCATGGATGCCGTAATTTAATTGCTGTTTGTCTTATGACAAGTCAGTTCTTTCCAATATTACATATTAATAAACATTACTGTATAGAAACTGCAAATAATGGCCTGCTGTACCCTTTCATATGACACAGGAGGCCTGAATACAGAAACAAACACTTTCTTCTTGTCATCGTGAAATTGTCATTGCTGTAGTGGATTTTGAGAGAAGGAAAAAAAAAAAAAAAAAAAAAAAAAGACTTCCCAGAAGTTAGTGGTGTTGCTTTGATCCAAAGCAAAGAGAAAGCATTTTGGGATATGAAAACAAAGCTCGTATAAATATGACTGTAACTAAGTGTTGATGCAACAGAAAAGGTGGATAACTTGAAAGGGGAAGAGCACATCAACAGAAAGAATTACTAGCAAATATACCTAATTCAAGCTTCAACAAGAGCCTTTCTGTGACAAAATAAATAAGGCAAAAGCAGTTATGTAGAAGTTAGTAGTTCTAAGGGAAATTTGGAAAATGAATGAAAGATGGTAGCCTTGAAGCTAAGGCCCATGCTGTTAGGCATGTGTACAGAATCGCCCTGAAGAGGATGCTTTGTGGTTTTAGAGCACAGCATGGTTTGTAAACTGAAGGGTTTTTGCGTTGCTTATCTACTGAATAGATCACAAGCAGTGTCAGTGGGGAGAGCTTACTTTCTCCTCCCAGTGTCTCTTCAGCTTTTCCTTGGCTTGTTAGCAGTGCATGCTGGGGTCTGTCCTAGTTTTGTCAGATGCAGTGGGATGCTCCCTAGCTGCAGCACGGGCAGGATTTCACCTCTGCTGTAACACTTAAAGCATCCAGAGACTTGCTGTGCCCAAACTGCAAGGAGTGCTGGAAGCAGCCAAGTCCGGACTGCGGTGATGGGACTGCAGTTCTGGCAGAGGGAGGAGCTGTGAGCAGGAGCCAGAGGCACCTGCTGGCAGGGTTTTCACATCAAAAACTGGTAGTGCAGATCACTTTCTCCTCCAAATTCCTTTCCTCCAGCTGAGAAGGCATTTCAGGACACCAGACACACACTCACTAGGAGCTAAGCAGACCGTTTCTGACTTTGTAGAGGGATCACCAGAGCTTGCAGATTGCCAACTGCTGCATGTTTGCAGAGCCTTTTTTCTTGATAGCTTGGCAGATGCACAAATCTCTTGTGCTAGCAGGGACTCTATTGAGATAAAAAATCTTCTTACTTGTTCAAGTTTTTCTATGGAGGGAGCAAAATGGATCAAGTTTGCTAAATGGGTGCTGTCCTATACATTTTTTTTCCATACACCCAGTTTTTCTCCTAAATCATGCACATGTTGCCTGGAGCTGATATTAGAAAGACTTAACTGTTGAGTATTTGTGATTTAAGAGCAAAAAAAAAGAGCTTGAAAAAAACTAATAAAATAGTAGTAAGTGGATTTGTTTGAAATTTTCTCTGTGAATACTGAATAGAAGTTAGGAAGCAGGTGACCAAAGTGGTAGCCTGCACAAGAGTGTTGTGTGACATACAAGACTGAGCACATTGCAACAGCAGGAATGACAGAGAAATTCCTCTGGTGGAGGAAAACAGGCATAGCGCACAGAAGATTTATATTTTTATGGTCACTCATAATTAATCTACTTGGAAAGCAATTTCTGAGTTCCTGCCTAGTAAATGTCGCAAGATTTGTTTTGTGGTGGTGGGTGGGTTGTGTGTGGTTTGTTTTGGTTTGTTTTGGTGGGCCTAAATTCTACAAAGTAAAGTGTCTGAATTTGGGATGGTGAAGAATGTAAGTACCTTCATTGCCAGTTTGTGTCATTCAGTGCTTCATTGTAATTACAATCAGTGCCCAGCTAATGACCTTAGACTGTGAAATGGCCTTTAGAATGGGAGAGATACCAATTGGTCAGGCTGAAGAAGCTCATAGCATTTCTATTTCCTCCTTTATGGAGGAAGGCACTATAGTGTCTTCTGTGTGTGTGTGTGTGTGTACATTTATGAAACTTAACTATATAAATAGATGCATATACATGTAACTAATTCCTGTATGATATTTACAATGCAAGTTTTTCAGGATCTCACCATAAGTCAAATTCTACTGCAATTTACTGCAGTTTACATTGGCGGAGAATGTAAAATGTAGCAAAATTCAATCCCAGATTCCTGAGAATATGTTTATCCTGATAGTCAACCCTGGGGAAAAGTCTCCACATCTTCTTTTTGCAAAGCTAAACTTGAGGAGTATTTTCTTTTTCCCCTTTCTTCCTGTTGCTGGGAAGTTGTTTCATCTTCTGGGTAATGTTGGCATTGGTTAATTGTTTGGCATATCAAAACTCTCACGCATGACATGCAGAGGATCAAAATGTTGTTAATTTTACTAATAATTGCTCTGGATCAGGTAGGAACAAAGAATAAACAAATACTTTTGCTTTAAAAGATAGAGGGAGTAAGCAGCTATAGGAGAATATAGGGTAAAAATATATATATGGTAAAAACCCAAGCAGCCTCTTGGGGAGAGGTGGGGGAGCTGGATCCCGAGAGGTGTGGAAGACGGGCCATGTGCTTAGTGAAGGTTCAGCTACAGAAGCAGTGGGGATCAGTGGTATAATCCACTTGTCTTCTCCCATTTTCTTCCCCTTGGCTCTCTGTTCCCAGCCAGTTGCATTAAGTGGTTTACAAGGCACTGTAATACGAAAGGGATATGGAGTGAGGAAAATCTTGCTCTAAAGCAGAGAGTGTGTGACGCTGCTGACAGTGGGGCAGCCCAGCAGCCGTGGGCTCTTCGCGGGTTGTGCAGCTGCACTGAATGCCCCTCCCTTGAGGCTTCACAAGGTGGGCAGCAGAGCTCTTGCTGATGGACCTGGACCAGATAGCACTGTATTTTCTTGCACTCAGGCCTATGCTGAACATGCTAGAGCAGTGCTTGCATGTGACGTGTGGTACAGGAGCATGTTATTTTAAATTAAAAATGGTTACATTATCTTCTTTCTGCAAACATTCAGTCTTTTGATACCTAAGAATGTCAACATTAAAGATACTAACATTTCTGCTTGATATGCAGAAATTCAAGTTCTAGAATTGATTTCACCTCTGTTTACTCCAAAGTGCACTGCAACTATTGACTAAAAAGCTGTGGAAATGCAGAAAGATACAAGGAAACTTCAAACTATTTATTGATTTTTCAGCATCTCCTAAATTATTAACCCTCAGTAGAATCATGAAATCAATATGATACAACCATTTAAAATGCAGGTCTTCTTTAATAAATATGCATACTCTTTCCTCTAATACAGATAGATTGCAACAGTGAAGAATTAGGGACTATATAAAGCAGAATTAGCTTTTTTTTTTTTTTTTTTTTAAACAAAAAAGAGTTGTTGCATACTGTGGTATTGTGAAATGCTAGTGCTCTGCCCCCAGCCTCTTCTGTGCGGATGCAGCCCTTTCTTGTAGGGACATTTTCTTGGCTCCTTCCCACCCCCTTGTGCTGAAACTTGTAGGGGGCTTCCAGGAGGACTTTCACCCTGGAACTAATGCAGGATGCTACCAGAAAAACATCCTGAAACTGTAAACTCTGGTAGGATATGTAAAGAGGAGCCCCCTGGAATTTAGGAAGGCACTTTGTTAAATATCTACAAAGACTCCCAGCTGATGGTTTATGTCTCCAAAACCAGAGCTGAAAAGGCCAGCATTGTGCTCGCTGTGCTATAGTTAGACATATGCTGGGAACCCACTTGGAGCTCTTCCTCATAACACCACTGTCTTAGCAATGTAAACTGCATTGCATTGGGCTGTATTTTTAACTGCTGAGATGAGAATGTTTTACCAATTACTCATGACTAGATTTAGTAACTCGTGTAATAGCTGCTGGCCATTTCCTACAATAAGTGGGCTTTTCGTGGTAGTGCCGATGTAGAATTCTAAGATGATAGATCTTGTGCATCAGGACGTTGGTAGACACAGTATCATGGTCCTGGTTCACACCCATGAATAATCCCAGCATGGAGAGAAAGAAGTCTTTAGTATGAAAAAGGTAGACAACTGGTTACAGTAAGACAGCTAGATAAAGTGTCATGTTACAATGTTGGGAAGTTAAACAACTTGTTTACAGAACACCTATACATAAAAGTTTATTTACACATTTTCCTTGTATTCTACTGTGCTTACATACCCATTTTAAGAGGAGAGCACAAAAGAAGCCTTTAGCCTGCT